CGTGTGCTCTTCCGATCTATACAAATAAATTTTCGGCCACTTGACACGGCCTTCCTCAGAATAAAAACTAAGTTACAGCACATGGCATTTATACTATTTAGCATGCTAAGTAATTAACTTAATCCTATTGTTGTACAAAATCATGCGTAGAGTTAAGTCCTCTTTGATTAGTCAATAGCATACCAATCCAAAAATTTTCACATTCCCTTAGGTTGCCCTGGCGCCGATCAATTAGCATGAATTTCAACAATGAATAATCAGCACCATGACAATCCAGAAAATGGTTAACAATACCACAGGTTCTCTTATTACGTTTGATGTATATATATATATATATATATATATATATATATATATATATATATATATATATATATATATATATATATATATATATATATATATATATATATTTTTTTTTTTGATGGAGCAGAAGTGTGTGAGCTTATCGGCCTATTTATACTCGATTCCTTGGCAAAGAAATATGGTAAAGATCGCGTCGGCCTTTATCGAGACGATGGTTTAATCCTACTACGAGGTACTTCTGCCCGGCTTGCTGACAAAGCTAGAAAAGATCTCCACCAACTTCTCGATGAGTTTCAATTGAAAATCACCACAGAAATTACCCACCAATCTGTCAACTTCCTAGATATTACCTTAAATTTAAATGATGAAAGCTACCAACCCTATCGAAAGCCTAACAATGAACCACTTTTCATTGACAGTCATTCAAACCACCCTCCTTCAATTACAAAGCAACTCCCATCTTCTGTGGGCAACCGAATTTCTCAGTTATCATCGAATCAAGAAGCTTTCTCGAAGTCTGCACCTCTTTATGAAGCCGCGCTCCACCGTAGTCATTACCCAACAAATTTACGCTACTCCCCAAATAATAAACAAAAGAATAGAACGAGAACAAGAAATATAATTTGGTTTAACCCACCTTTTAGCAAGAATGTAAGAACAAATGTTGGTAGAAACTTTCTAAACCTGATCGACAAACATTTCCCTGCGTCTAACCCGCTACACAAGATCTTTAACAGAAACTCGGTCAAAGTAAGCTATAGTTGCATGGATAACTGTAAAAGCGTCATCTCCAAACATAACTTCGGTACCTTTTTAAAGAATAAAAGTGTTGTAGTAGCATCTACCAAAGACAACTGTAACTGCATAGAAAGCATTGAATGTCCCTTAAACAATAATTGCCTTACAAAGAGCGTTGTTTATAAAGCCGAGGTTACGGACGACACAGGAGTGATTCGAGATTATATTGGGATGACATCAAACACGTTCAAGAAACGTTATTAGGCCCTACAACCACAAGACATCATTCAAAGACACGAGCTATGTTAAATCCACTGAGCTGTCCAAACACATTTGGAACTTGAAAAACAAGAAACGTACATTCAACATCAAGAGGTCCATTCTGAAGCAAGCATCAACTTATCGCAGCGGCGCGAAAAGTTGCAACCTATGCCTCCAAGAGAAACTCGAAATTTTGAAAGGTGATAAGAAAAGATTGCTGAACAGGAGATGTGAGCTATTCCCGAAGTGTTGCCAACGTGCGCACGCAAAACTATCACGCAAGTAGCCTAACGAACTCGCACGTAATCATACAGGAATTTTTTTATTGAGATTTAAACCAAAGAGTAAAGATATAAAGATGGTTCACTCGGTGAAAAATGCAGTGTTTAGGACGTCACACAGATTTCAGATTTGCGAAGCTGACGCCATTTACACGCCATCAAAAGCAAATTAAATATTTAAAAAAAAATTTAATATGCCGCAGCCAGTACCGTCGCTGCGTTTTCAGTCAAAACTATAGGGAAAACGCAGTTCGAAATGCAAAAAGTGGCATTTTTAAGGAAAAGACGCTTTCGAGCTTCATATCTGGACAAAATTTTTCAACAATAACAGTAAGTGATCTTTTCTATTCACATAAGAAGTACGATTGAGCTTTTGAAAAACTTTTATTTGATTTTGAAAGTTGAAGGAGCGGTCGGCCCACAGATTGTGATATCCTATAAAGCGAACAAAACTATTTGCCGGGAATATATTTCAGTGGCAAGACTTTCTGCTTGGCAAGTTCAGTTTGTACTTAGGGACCGGTCATTATTTATGGAAGGGGGGAGGGAAAAAATGAGGGGGGGGGGCATATGTATAAATAAATTACTAGAGGGGGGAGCTATTAAATTTTGTCAAAAAAATGAGAGGGGGGGTTGCAATTAAATTTGAAGGAATTTGCTTAATAAGCATGGTATCCATTTGGTTGTAATTGCGACTAAATCATGGTCACTGATGTGAAATAGTCTGGATTTATCTTGTCTTCTGTGTGCTGTATGCAAATCAATCTTTACTGACTGCAGAGATAAATTGACAATGTATTATTGCATCAGCTATCTTGATGTAGTTAAATACATTTAAGCAAGGTTAACAGTGGATGTATTATGCAGGCCACATCCACTGATGGGAGTCTGTGACGTCATATCGATTAAAAGGGGTTGTTTCGCGCCTTGTGATCAGTGTTTCGGTCTGGGTATTCATACTGCCATTGTATGCTTTGCCTAGCTGCAGCAAGTTTAGCGCTTAGATACCTTTCCCCTACCCACCGCACCCACCCATGTTTATTCTAGAAGATTTTATCTGGTAGTATGTCATTTTATTTTATATAATTTTTAATCTCACTAAAAATAGGATGTATAGACCACTATACATTATATTTTGTTTCCACTGACTTGTCAGTGTGACTGGTGCCGGAGGTATGCCTTGGCAGAATAGCCAGAATTGTCATGGCTATCTCCTTTTGCTGCTAATATTACTGATTGTTACTCTCATTGCTACGCAGCTGCTATAGCAATACTTTGACTTTGTGCCATCAAATCTAGTTACAGCCTTGGACCACAAACGGCACCTGCCACCAAACACTAATATTAATTCTCTGCCGTTAAACATGGTTACAATCGCCCAGACCAAATGGAAACCTGATTTTAGAGTTATATATGAAAATACCCCTCTTTTATTTATAATTTTCGATTCTGCTAATATATATTTTTGGTCGACGTTAATATCTTGTCAGCCCCATATTCTTATTTAATTAATAATTAACATTATAACGCCTGGGTATCCCCATTTGTCGAGTAAAAATGAAAATGGGGGGGGGAAAGAAAAATATTCTAATATGTAGGGGGGGTCATCAATAAATTTCTGCTCTTTTAAGGGGGGGCTTTCAATTTTAAAAAATTAGGAAAGAAAAAATTCCCCTCCCCCCCTTCCATAAATAATGACCGGTCCCTTAATGGGTTAATATCCTGACAATCAAAATACACAATTTAGATCAGATCAACACACGTATCGAACTCTCAAAAACTGAGACATTTTGGTCGAGACTTGTTTTTTGCTAGTTTTTTCTCGTTGAAAAAAGTGAATTATGCTCTTACCTGAACATTATACGATACGAAATATACTGGAATGTCAATTCTGAACAACTTCTGAGCTTTCCTGCCGCAAAAACGACATAACTGGAGTTATACAACATCGTGTAGAACAACTTTTTGATGTTTTTTTGACTTCTTAACACAAGTTTCGAACTTCACTCCTTCGAGTATAATTTTCCCTTTTCGCAGCGTTCAAGTAGCGTTTGTAGCCCCATTTGTTGTTAAAAATGTCCAATCTAACCCATTTTCTTGAAATTAAAACGAAACAGCAAATCACCTGGATAGTTTCGTTAAAATCGCTGTTTTTGACAAAAATTCGGATTTCCCCATCTATTTCCTTATAAAAAAATTTCACGGTACTGACTGGGAGGTTACGCATGCGCAGTATGGCCGATCGTGCGTGTGACTGGTTTTGGCTTGAGTGAACCCTCTGTATATACTTCCTCTGCGTTTAAACATTGTCGCCTGAAGATCGCATTGAGCGTGAAACTCAGAGCTGTGACTATATTTTAAGTTAACAAATTAAATTATATATATATATATATATATATATATATATATATATATATATATATATATATATATATATGGTATGGATATAGTCTGGCTTGCCAACGTAGAAGTCACTTGTCTGGAGGATCCAAAGGATACACGACGCTTAAAATATTATAGATAGGTATACAGAAGGAAATGCGAACTCCAGACAGATCAATAATAACGTTTTATTACAAACGTTTCGCCAAAACAGGCTTCATCAGTGTAAAAAGTTAAAAACACAAGGAAGTTAACTCATGCGATTTATAACCTAACCTATGAATAATTAAGAACTAATTAAGGACTAAATGAGAATACTCTAGGGATGTTAAAAATGTGGCCTATTATTGCGAAATATTTAAATTGTTTCTAATTACTAAAGTTTATTCTGTTCTTCGACCTGAATTCACATCTCTTATTGAGACCGTAAGGTTTTAAAGTGCATAACTGCGCACTCCAGTATGCTTCTCTTGTCAACAATCGCTTCTCAATAGTGTTTGAATCACTGCCATTTACTATTTGTTCTATACCTATAAACTTCAAGTCAGACAAATCATGCGGTGTTTTGTTGAAATGCGTCGCTACTTCACATGTCCTTTTATTGTTAATCATCGTGGATTTGTGGTTACGAAAGCGGACCTTCAGTTCTGTGCTCGTGGATCCAATGTATTGCCGTGAGCACTTAATACATGTAACTAGGTACACAACATTTTGAGTATTGCAACAAATGTTCTGTTTAATTGGGTACTTTACCCAATTAAACAGTCCCCTTTGGAGTAGCTACGAGATTAAGAAGAAATTGCTCAACAGAAGAAGATTTTGATAAACGCAGCAACGAATATCAAAAGTACTTAACAAGGAGAGGATACCATCCGAATAATGTACACAAGCAATTCAACAAAGCGAAGTCAATTTCCAGAGAGGAACTACTGCAACATACCAAGAGAGAGAAGAGAATTTTATTTTCGTTGGTTGTCGACTTCAACCCCAGGCTTTCCTATATAGGAAAAATCCTGAAGAAACATTTTCACCTTATCCAAGATTCACCAGAGTTACAAGAGATCTTTCCACCTAGATCTATAATACCATCCTTTAGAAGGCCAAAAACTATCAAAGAAATTCTTTCTACGAAACGACGGCAGGAAACGAGCGGGGATCAAAGTCCAAAAGGGTGTTATAAATGTGGAAAGAAGTGTGACTTTTGCAACAACTACATGCATGAGTCTAGTACATTTGTCAGTAGTCAGACGGGGGTAAAGTACCCAATTAAACAGAACATTTGTTGCAATTCTCAAAATGTTGTGTACCTAGTTACATGTATTA